AGAGCGGTTAGGGTTTGGTGGGGTTTGGGGCCGAGTTGCGGAAGATTTCCAATGATCGGCCAGCCTTTGGGTCCCGGCGGAAATCGGCGGATTCGCTTCCGGCTATTGCCGGAGAAAAGGAGCAGAGTGAGGAGGAGGAGGAAGGTGGTGGAGAGGAGCAGGTAGCTTAAGACTGCCATATGCTTCTGCGCTCTGCTCTCATGCTGTTTGCTATATAAAGGAAAGTACCAACCACCTTCCTTCTTCCCTTGTTTTTTTTTCCTTGTAAATTTACATAATAACACACAATTATTTTATATTTACATATATTTATATCTATATGATTGTGATATTCTTCGCTACGCTCCGATGTTGTTTCGGTATATAAAGAAATAAACCGCCACCTAATTTTTAATTTCTTTTTTTGCGAATTTGAAAAAAAATATGAAAAATATGAATTACAATTTTACCATAAATTTTGATTTTTGGGTGAGAATTTGAAATATGATGAAAGAGAGGGGTTGATTTGTAAATACAAAGTTTTGGGTGGCACGCATGTAATTGCCGCTTTACATAATATGTTGCATATGCCACACTTAAACTTGAGTGTTTGGAATGTAAATATTATAATTGAATATGTAATTAATTATATAATTTTGATTTGACGAGACATATTAGCAATTAAATAGTGATGAATCGTAGGTTAAGTTTGGCGCTTGGTTCAGAGCAGGTTTACGTGTAAAAATCGAGGCTTATTTTATTCCACGCATTTCTAGCCTTTAACCTGAACGAACCTCATTTTCTGTTTTTTTAATTATCCCAATTTAATTTATAAAAAAAAACTCTTAGAAAATAATTTTTTTTAATTAGAGGAAAAATTATTGCATCTTTGCATCAAAACTTTAATCAAGGTTTGTCAAGTGCACAGGTAAGCTCACTTACTTTTTACTAAAATGGATATGTTTGTACACGTAGCAGATTCTGATTGAAGTCTTGATGTAAAATCACGTCAGGACTCCTGATGCGATATTTTTTCTAATTTGAAAGGGTCAACGGGAGAGAGTTAAGTGAAGAGGGTCAGGTGGAGAAGACTGAGCAGAGATGGCCGAATGACGAGGGCTTACTTGAGAGGGCTGAGTAGAGTTGATTGAGTTCGATAGGTTTTTTTTTTTTTTTTGGATAATCTCCATACAATCCACAATGCAATATATTTTTTAAATATTTTATAATATTTTTTTAGTAATTTCAAAAAACTATAATTGAATTAAAATAAATTCATTTAAAGATGCAATTAATCTAATAAATTTTGCATTTTATTTTTATTTTTATCGAAATATGAGAATTTAAATTTTTTTTTTAATTATTCAATTTATTTATATTAATTATAAGCACAATTTTTTTGTAATACGTAAAGTTCGCGCGCGTTGAACGTTAGCTGTTTGCATGATTAGTGAATACCGGAAGTTGAGACCTAAGGGTTGCGATGGGCGTCGGATTGAGTTTCTTGAATCAAACAGCGCATACGATTTTCGGCTAATGAAAAAACGACGAGTGTTAACAATTTTGGCAGTCACAAGACTCGTGCACGTACTTCTGCTTTCAATAAATTTCAAAAAAAGAAAGTCACATTATTTGCATAGATTATATGATGACATTTCTCATGCACAAGATTTATAATATGATATTGTTCAATATAATTGTACACATTCAAAAATAGAATAATAATAATAATAATAATAATAATATAGAAGATAAAAAAATTTAGAATATTTTTTTAATGTATAGAAATATGACATTTCTATAAAAATAAATCAAAGTTCTCAAAACCAATAAGTAAGTCGAGCGGACTCGCAAGCTCGAGCTCAGCTCGATAAGTTGTTCGTGAACTCAGCTTGATGAGCAAACAAGCCAAGCTCAAGTTAACCCCAACTCAACCATCAGCTCGTGAGCCGTCTTGCTTTAAAAAAGTATTAATATAAATTTACTCAAAATATATTAAACTTGAATATTTTATGTTTATATATATATATATATATATATATATTATTAATTGATTTCTCATTACTTCACTTCCTATTTGTCATTTTTTTATAACTAATACTTTAAATTAATATTATTTTCACCATTTTATAAGTTCAAACTCGTAGACTTAAGTTCGAGCTCGAACTCGATAAAATTAAACAAATCAAGCTCAAGTCAAGGATAAGTTGATCTGTCTAAGTATTAAATTTTAGATGTTAGATATATAAATAGTGAATACATATGGATTGTGTGTGTAATATTTAAATTTAATGGGAGTCAGTATTGATGATATTTATTAAGCATGTGAAATTTCCAGATCTGTGAATCAATGAAGCATCATGTGATTGGCATTATTAGGTGAGTAAACTATGACATTTTGTATTACATTAAGTAAGATTCCCTTAATTGAAAATACAAGGTCGAACGGAGCAGGGTCACGAGAAAATCGAGCAAACTATTGAAGTGGAATAGGTTTACAACCGGTTTGGGGCAGCTTATTTGATGTGGTGCGTTTAAAATTGTCGAATTGAGCTCACCTGTCAAAGTAGTCAAACTAAGCATATCTATCAAAGTAGTCAAATTGAGCCTAACTGTCAAAGTGATGCAACTGAGTCCATCATAATTTACTGTGTCACTCGACACTTATATTACATTTTTCTCATCAAGACGTCGTGGACTTGCATAGTGACCTACGTGTTTCATATTTATTTTCCTTCGGGTACGAAAGGGAGGTAAGAGGGGATGGAGCAGGGCCTCTCTCTCTCTCTCTCTCTCTCTCTCTCTCTCTCTCTCTCTCTCTCTCAACTGGGAAATAGAGCTCTTTTCTTTGAGCACGTCGCTGCTAATCAGAGAACTCGAGAGGACACAAAATCAGGAGCACGAAGTTTAGCTAAGTCAATCTTTACAAATTTCATCAAAAGTATCAAACATAGAGCAAATAATTATAATTTTTTTTATGAGAGAGAGAGAGAGATTTCGTTTGAGAAAACGGTGAAGTTTCGTTCCGTTGCAGCGAATGCTGATGCGTGAATTTACTTTTATTTAGTAATGTCTCCTGAAGTTTCAACAGACATTTTTTCATCATTTTAAACCACAGATGTGTGTGTCAATCCTGTTTCTAGATAGCTCTTTTTCACTATTTCACGAATGAAATGTCCAAACGTTAGGTGTAATTTTCATGTTATGTGTATTAACATTATAAATACCTATTTCATATTTGAGGCATTTACATACATACGGCCCAATTCCTACATATTTACATATCTAACCCTAAACTTTGCTTTTTTACATACATATATAACACCCAATTCCTACTATACTAATTTATATCACTTAAAAAACATCACAATATAACTTTCAAAACGTGAAATACATATTTTCATGCATAATAAATGTGATGAATGTAATGGGAGTCAATATTGATGATATATCTATATATTGAATTTTAGTAATTAGATATGTAAATACATAAGAATTGAGCGGCATCTATAAAAATCTTCAATTTAATGGGAGTCAATACTGATGATATTTATTAAGCATGTGAATTTCCAGATCTGTGAATCAATGAAGCATCATGTGATTGGCATTATTAGGTGAGTAAATTATGACATTTTGTATTACATTAAGTAAGATTCCCTTCAATTGAATATACAAGGTTGATCGAGCAGGGTCACAAGAAAATCGAGCAAACTACGGAAGTGGAATAGGTTTACAACCGATTTGGGGCAGCTTATTTGGCGTGATTCGTTCTAAAAATAATGGATGAGGCGTTTAAATAGCAAAGCAGTTGCATTACTTAGAAAATTAAGTTAAATGCACGTGGCCTGCATTTCTTCACAAGCCTATTACTCGAATGCTCCTCCGGATGCTCCCCTCTCACTGTTGCCCTCTCTCTTACGTTTCTTCTGCCCTAGGTCACGCCTCCCTTGATCGCACCTCTCTCGTGCCTCTCTCTGATGGCAACAGGATGCCTTCCTCCTTTCCTTCTTCCCTCTGATCTTTGGTGGCAACGTGTTGCCTCTCTCCCCCAAACAAACCTTCGGAGCGCAATAATCGTAAAGTTGGACTCCATATTATAACTTTTTTTAAAGACTAGAGGAAACTTTTGAGGCTATTAACTTTCTCATGGCATTTAGTGCACATGATGGCTTGATAGTAGCTTTCATAAGTGTGGTGAATTTAGGGGGATACACAAAAGTATTCTTGAAATGTATTCAAAATACATACCCTTAATTCACACGTACATATGCCACAAGTAACATTCTCTAGTGTAAATGAACCAAATTGACTCGTGAGCCAGCTCAGGCTCATCTTCGTAAGTGGTTAATGAGCTAAGCTCGAGGAGCTAACAAACCAAGATCAAGCCACTGCCAGGCCCAACCCAACTGATCAGCCAATAAGCTAGCTCGTTTAAAATAATGACAATATAAAATATACTCAAAATATATGAAACCTCAAAATTTTATTTTTAAATTATTGAAAATGTCTAAGGAATTATATTTTAGATTTTATATAAAGTTGATACGTGACTAAAAAATTTTATTATTTAGTATGAAACTCAAAATAATTTTTTGAACAAGACCATTCCAATTCAAATTAAAGATCATCCAGGGCAATTTTATAGTCAAACTGACCGTCTCGACAAAACGAACTCGATGATAACAAAATTAGTTTAATATGAATCCAAACGAGTCAAGATCAAGTGATTAAAATACTTTTTGAGGCTTCAATTTGTTAATTAAACAGTCAAAATAACTTAAAATTTGACATATTTATAATCAATTAAGCATCTCATATAAAAGATTCCAATAAGCATATTATGACTTAATTTTAGGATCATTAAGATCATCAAAGCATTAAAAAAATTCATATGATCAAAGGGGATCAATATAGATCTTCCCATCAGATGATTCAAAAAGTTGCTTGCCAAAAAATCAAAATGTCCTTGGAGCCTATAAATTGATTACTCTATTCACTTGAGGGGTGAAGAGAAGAAATCAAATTCTAGCGTTGCTATAAACTAAAGACTAGTCAATAATTTATGGCCTTCATAGCCGTCAACCATCACTGATCATTAGCCATCGACGACTGTCGAACATCATGAACTGCCCCCTGCTGCTATCGTGGCGAACTTTTGCTAACAAAGTATCCCAAAAACGAGATAATGAAGTGTATCTCAACTACAATACAATGAAATATCTCGAATACGGAATAACAAAGTATCTCAAATACAAGGTAACAACATATCCTAAATACAAGGAAATAAAATATTACGAATATAATATAACAAAATATTCTGAGTACAGGGTAACAACATATCTTTAACACTTAACAACTTAATATTAACTTATCTCTTTTATAATAAACAAGTCAGCTTATAAAGCCAACTTGAACTCTTAGACTGAAGTTCAAGCTCAAACCCGATTAAAGAATCAAGTTCATGCCCAAGCTGAGGGAGGAATGAGCTGTACTTGGCTCACTAACACCCCAAGGTGAATCCATACACAAACTCCTAAATAATGTAAATTCAAGTTTGTATTAGTATTATTATGTTTTAACAGAGTAAATTTGTTGTGCTAAATGATTTAAGATGATGAGGCCAATTTTCTTGTGAGAATTGTTAAATGAATGGTCTTGACCAAAAGTTTAAGCCGGGTGATTGCAAGTGGAAAGACATGCCAAAATAAATAGTGGCTTCAAACCAATCATAACAAGTCAATGCACTCCATAAGCATGTGACCATCAATAAAATTGGATTGAATATATATCCCAAAAATCTCCTCTACAAAGAATGTGGTTCAAAAAAGAGTTTATTTTTATTTTGGTGGTTAAAATGTCCAAAAAGAGCAAGCTTATAAGATTAATAATATTTAAAGCAATGCTTGTACTTAAGCTAGTTCAAAGTAAGAATGTATTCTAAGGGTATCGATAGAAAGTGAAGATATAGTATGTCCCAAAAACCAAAATCTAAGATGCTTCAAAGCACTTAAAACAAATGTGAAAGAGGAGAATGTTTTATAGTGTATGGTTTTAAAATTACTCTCATAGTGTCATATGGCGCATTTATGTAATAATGAGAGAATTGACCTGTCAAAGAGTATAATAATTAGCCTCATCAAAATTCCATAATTTCATATTTTATGATCACTAGTGATCTTGGTACATTTAATCATGCAAAAATCAAAGTTGAGAAAATCGAATCTAAAATCAAATCGAAAAAACATAGTTCAAGGTTTATTGGTTCAACCAGAGTTAAACAAGGGGTTGAACCAAATCATACAATAACTATAAAATTAATTAAATATGACCTAAATAACACGATAATAATAAATAAAAAAAATCACAATTTCTCAAGTTTTTAAAACAAATAAATAGTAGTCCAACTCATTGAACACATCTATAACAAAGCATTCAAGCTCTCTTCCCTACGAAGAGACAACCTTATTCCCGAAAAAACATTTTAATTCCCCACACAAAAAAAAAGACTTGCTCTCAAAAAACATTCCTCTCTCTCTCTCTCTCTCTCTCTCTCTCTCTCTCTCTCTCTCTCTCTCTCTCTCTCTCTCTCTCTCTCTCTCTCTCTCTCTCTCTCTCTCTCTCTCTCTCTCTCTCTCTCTCTCTCTCTCTCTCTCTCTCTCTCTCTCGGACAGGAAAAAATATATATAATATCATGATTTTCAAAAGAGAGAACCGGTTTGCCAGTTTGCAAATTAAACCGGCGGTTTGGCCTGTGCCCGGTGGTTCGATGGCAGAAAACAACCGGCCGATCCGGTCCAATTTTCAAAACATTGATAAAAACTTGAAAAGATGCTTGCAAGTAAACACGAGTTATCTCATCCAAAATAATCTTAAGAGACCAAAGGTCAGAACTAATCATAAACTGACAGAAGGGATTTATTATCCGCCAACATTTGAGGAAAATTCCATAAAAGACTTATATTTATTGTTTGTGACACAATATGCCAAGGCTAAGGCTAACAAAGTTACATATGCTCTAAAGCTGACGGACAAGTGTACCTACTCCCACAATGCACATGGTAATATGCTGAACAAAATTGAGTCCTGCTTATACGACACTAACAATACCATTTTGCACAAGCAAATTTTTTTACACTATCACAAATATTCACTAATGATAGAACTACTTACAGAATAACTTCATTGCACAAATGTGCTCAGGAAAAGAACTTATGATTTGAGAAATGTACATAACAACACCTAACGTTATCTTTTTATATAAATTATTCTGAGTTCATAAAATCTAAGACTGAAAAATTGTGATTGCGATAGCTTAAGATTGCCGGGAAATAAAAGCGAGGAAGGTGAAATAAAGGGGAGCCTATCTCACCTTTTAGGGTAGTCAAAATCGAATGTAGATGATAATTTACAATCAAAACCTAAAAAATCCTTCTAATGAGCCATTAGGCAGACTGAAACCTGATAAAATCAAAAGAAACCTAGTATCACTTATTGCATGAATCAAAAGAATTATTACTGCAATGGACGATATGGAAAATTAGATTCAAGAGGCATTTACATTCATACCACCCAATTCCTAATTATTTACATATCAAACATATAAACTTTATTCTTTGCATTTATACCACGAATATCATTCATATCACAATTAAAAAAAGCCCTATTTTAACTTTTAAAAACTGAAATACACCTTCTCACGCATAGATAAGATAGCATATATAAATATGTAAATGCATAAGAATTGAGTGGCATGTATGCAAATCTTCCTAGATTCTAACCCACAAATTGATTAAAGAATATTAACTTACAAATTAGTGTGGCTTAGTAGTTTGATCCATAGTTTAGGCTATAAAGCAACTCTCTCCGACCTTCGCCGCCCATCATATAACCGAATTGGTGAACCAGAGACTGTAACCGCTCATCACTATTGATGTCTATTTCACGAGAGCATCGTCGCCGAACCTTTTTAAGCATCTCTTTTGAGGGTGTGAATCCTGCATCAGCCTGACAAGGAAACAACAATGGTGAAACCTTTAGGATCACTTAATGGTAATGAAAGTATATTCATTTGATTTATTTTGAGATAATTGTGATATAAATTTTGACCGATAAGAATGTGTTGCACAGATCTCAAAGCAAATCTAATGGATAAAAATTTCTTATAGATTCTAATTTTTTTTTTTCCCGAAGGAAATAAACATGATGGAAAGATACAGCATACCATTTCATCGATTATGTTAAGAGCAGCTTTGGGATCTCGGTTAGCTAGATGTGCATCCACAAGTAATGTGTATGTTGTTGCATTTGGTTTGACGCCTAAGCTGACTAAATGCTCAAAAACTTTACAAGCCTCTGATGTCTGTCAAAATAATGAATTCGGATAAGTGCATAAACTTCAAAAGACATTCTAAAATTGAAGGAAAAAAAAGGTAAATGAAGATATCCTACCAAAATTTGGTATGATGGGTCTCTATTGTTGATTTATTTTTACATTAGTGCAATATAATATTTAATTAATCATCTATGCACTAAATTAAATCCAATTACGCTTGGATCCATTCTGACTAAATTTTTGTCCGAGTATCTTACTCTTTCTTTTAAGTATCAAAATAGTCTCCTAACTGTTAACATGGTGTCATTTTAGTCCCAAAATCTATAAAACTGTCAGATTTATGCCCAGACTCTTTAAATTGTGGAGTTCCCACAAGAGTATAGTGACTAAATTTGTATTTTTATAGACACTTGGATCAAAATGACCCCTGCAAAAACTCAAAGAACTATTTTGACACTTCTATCATTTTATTTAAAATATTTAATTATATACATATATTTGGTGACTAGGCTTTAAAAGGAAGAGAGTATGAAGATACCTTTTTAACTTTTCCGAATGCGCACAAGAGAGCATTATAGGAATGTATATCAGGAGTTAATCCAATCTTTTCAGTTATTGCCTCAAACGTCTCATAGGCCCGATCAAGGTCCCATATGTTTGCGCAACCTAGTACAACACAGTTGAGGGCAGCGACTGACTTGTAAGGTGGATCTGAATCACTTAAATTCTCTAACTGAAGATAAACCTGGAATTTAATTAAGCAAGCAGCAGATATTAGAGAAAGACTAGTGTAGCTCCAACAAAATGAATGAATTGATCAAAGTTACAAAAAGGAATATTACAGTGAGAGATCCAAATTTACATGAAAAGAGAGATCACTTCAATCGCATGTGCTGCATCGAAATAAAAGCAGGGATGACAATAAATATAGCTCCAATAACGCTAAAAATGCATGTATTTAAGCATCTATTAAAACTTCTTTTTATGCATATCTCATGATGAAGCATTCTACGTATGCTGACAAGATTGGATGGATGGATGCATGTTGAACTCAAAAAATGTATTCAGAGATAAAAGCTCAATCCCATAGCAAATCAGTTTTCAGTTTAAATCTATTGAAAAAATGACCCTGTTTGAACCAAAATTGAATTTGGATTGAGTTCGGACAGAAGAGCTTCAAGGGCATATCTTTCGCAATCCTACCCTAATAAGATGGATAATAAAGTAGCCTAAAAGTAAATTTAACCCACACAAAATCAAGAGAAGCCTCATAATACTCGCATTTTTTAAACAACTAAAAAGCAAAAAAATAAACTGGATAAAAGGAAAATATTGAAATTTTGCAGAGGTATGAGTTGAAAAGCTTGAAAAAGAAATGAATCTACGAAGGACCAAATTTATACCGAGTCCAAAGTGGAGAAGCCATTTTTGCAGCATGCAGCAACCAACGGACATAAAGAAGAAAAAGGAGAAAACAACTCATTATCAACATCCTCAGAGTTACCATAGGCAGTTTCAAGCTCATTAAGAGTACTAAAAGCACGTTGCAGATTTCCCAGCGATGAATATGCATAAATCTTCGCCAAATAAGTCTCTGGATTTGGCGCCCTCTTCTGACGGAGCGAACGCTTCAATAATGACCAAGAAGCATCTATAAGGGTAGAATCAAAAGTCCTGCCTGCAGTAGCAAGGGTCGAAACAAGCAATCCTTCATCCACGGAAAGAAGAATAGGAGGTCGTGCATTCTCGCCACGAGCGATCCAGCGAGCCAGAAATTCCAAAGCGTAGAAAGCGAGTTTACTGTGATCAGCTTGCATTGCAACATCTGCAATGTAGTTGCAAAGTTTCCATGATGGAGACAAGGCCTTGTTTTGGTCAGTTGTCTGTGAATGTTCAATGGAAACTAATCAGCAAGAAGTGAGGAAGCATGCTAGAAATGCTGAAAAACACACTAACTTTTTTTTTTCAGCTTTTTGGCCGGGGGTGGTGAGAATTTACATGCATACCAAACAATTCATATGCATTTACATATCTAAAATCCAAAGTTTAATATTTACACATTAGTGTCATAAATCTATGCATGAAAAAGGTGTATTTCACTTTAAAAAAGATAGTGATGGTTGTATGTTTTATGTGATGTTAAGAATTTGATGGGTATGCATGAAAATATGAATGTTTAGATGTTAGATATGGAAATACAAAAGAAATGTGTGGTATGTGTGTAAATGCCCCTTTTAATTTTTTCTTTTTTTGTGGAATATTCTTCTATGATAAAGAAATTAAGTATTTTTTATGTGATGTTAAGAATTTGATGGGTATGCATGAAAATATGAATGTTTAGAAGTTAGATATGGAAATACAAAAGAAATGTGTGGTATGTGTGTAAATGTCTCTTTTTATTTTTACTTTTTTTTCGTGGAATATTCTTCTATGATAATGAAATTAAGGCATGGTACATACCTTGCATTTCTCTATAATTAATGCTAATGTGTCCAACTTTCCAGTGCTAACACAGCTCTGTACATATTCTGTAAATACACTTGACGAGAGCATGGAACCAGATTTGAGAAGCATGTCCAAGTACTTCAATGCAGAGTCAATCTGGTTCTTCAAGAGTAGAAGACCGATGACCAAATTGTAAGATTCATCATCCGGCATACAGCCGGTCAGCAGCATCCTGTTGTCGAGCCAATTTATGATCATTGTTAAAAAAATAAAAAAAAAAAAAATCTTAAGAGAAAGAAAGCCATCACTAGCTTACAATCTCCACCTTATTATATTTGTGTTTTAAATTTATAAATAGCATATGAAACCAGAAGCGGAGCATATGCATTCAGGAATAAATGACATTTAGCAAATCATGCAATTATTTAATATCACAATAACTTATGATCTCAGAATAACAGATAGATCCATTAAAAAATAAAATAGCTAAATGTTTTCGAAGAGGTGTCACAAATGCATGTGTGTCAAAGATTTTTACAAAGACATCTTTTAAGCGCCGTCAAATTGATAATTATGTTAATATGTATCCTAGCAGATTGACGATAATGAAGAGGTTAGTGATTTTAAGAAAATGTTTGTTGATAACACCTAGAATTTCTTGCATCGTGTCGCAACTACTGCTAAAATTAAAAAAGTCTGGAAGAAAACAGCAATTTTTCAATCATATTTTAGAAACTAGAATAAGTCTTGTAAAATCATAATTAATAGTGAAATACCTTGGAGAGGGTACTCCATCTCTTTAAATTTCCTAGTAAATTAATCTGCTGGATTATGCATTTGCATTAACAACCCAAAATTTGCTCTCATCATTAAAGGCAAGCAAACAGAGAGGATAAAGGCAAGCTGTGGTTTTTCGGCGGGGATGTCCCCTTTCGCCGCATTTATTTATATTGTGTACTGAGTTACTCTCTAAAGCTCCGAAACAATATCAACAAATCGGGATTTCTATTACTAAAGGTGGAACTCGTATGTCACATCTCCTTTATGCTGACGATGTTTTACTTTTTGCAGAAGTTTCTACTTGTATAGCTCTCTGTATCCAAGGAATTTTATCTAATTACTGTGCTTGGACTGGCCAAACTATTAACAATGCCAAATCTGCCATTATATTTAGCAGAAAGACGGCAATTTGGAGGAAAAATCGAATTACTCATCTTTCAGGTTTCAAAAAGGAAGATGAAATTGATTATCTGGGGATCAGACTTGCTATGCGCAAATTAAGAAAAGAGGACTTTAGTACTCTTATTCATAATATTATTTCTAAGTTCAAGACGGGAAATCGACACCTCTCTTTGTCAGGCCGGGTAACTCTTATTAATTCCTCCTTATTAAAAAAACCCATGTTTCTTCTCACGCATTCTGATATGCATGTGGGAGTGATGAATGAAATTGAAAGATTGGCTCGCAATTTTCTATGGGACAGCAGAACCAATCGCAAAGGCCTTCACTATATTGCTTGGAGAAAGCTTTGTGTTCCTAAAGTTTACGGTGGCCTTGGATTTCACGCTGCGGTGCAGTGGCGTAGTCCACTTACAACAAGATTGGCCTGGGCTTTCATTAATGAAATAAATTCCTTCCCTTATAATTGTTTGGTTGAAATTTATCGTACAGATATTTGGCAAAGTGGAAGAAATATAAATGATTCTTGTGCTTGGAATATTATTTGTGATGGGGTTGTAAGCCTTAACAAGATAATTCAATGGGTGGTTGGTAACGGAAGAAGCATTAGTATCATGGATCACATTTGGATCCTAGATTTGTCACTTTCTAAGTGGCCCACCTACATTAATACTGAGGAAGTTGAAAACCGAAAGTTGGACGTATTGATTTTGGAAGGAAACTGGAACATACCAGCTATGCAAAATTGCTTTGGGCCAGATCTTATTGATACCATTGCTCAGGTACAAAGCATACAGGCTACGCAATCTGATCCGCCAAGCTTCTTTCTGTTCTCTCGGGGAAAAACTATGCTTTGGCGTTTGAGAAGCAATTTATTGATTTACCCAAAGAAGAAAATTGGGTGTCGAAATTTAAGCTTCATCCGAGAGAGGCTTTCTTCTGGTGGAGAATTCTACACGATGCAATCCCTTCCAATGATTGGCTTTACCGCAGACACATATCAGAGGATATATATTGTCCATGGAGATGCAATGAAATAAAAGATTATTCGCATATTTCTGCTAAGTGTAAAGTTTTGAAAGAGATTGCTTACTCTTATCATGTTGAGGGATTTATATTCCTGAATTTAATACTTTTGAAGATGTCATAGCTGGTTTAAGGCAACTTTCTACTTCACAAATAACTACAGCCATATTGTATTGTTGTATGGTTCACCACAGCTGGAGAACTCGAAACGCCAAAAAACATAATAAATCTTATGGGACTCTGATTGTGATTGTAGTTACCATTCTTTCGACACTTACCCGGCAAAGTACTTTCTACATCACGGAGCAACGAGGTACCTCTCGGCTCTCGGGGTTTCCCTTGTGGTTGGTTAAAAGTTAATATGGATGGTTTGTGTCTTACCAATGGCCAAGTTGTGGGACTGGTTATCAGAGATAAAGTGGGTAAAGTTATCATTGCAGCTACGAAAAAGATATTGCATTGGGATAGCTGTCAAGTAGGAGTATGACACGGTGCTCTTTTTTGGCAATTTATTTCAGCCTTGGATGAGTGAGATCAAAGGGGTAATCATTGAGGGAAATAATGCTAATGTTATTACCTCTTTTCAGGAGAGCATGAAGATGAAAGTTTGGCAGCATCGACTTGATGTGGGACCTGAAATAGATTTTCTTTTGAACTTTCAGCAAGTCCTTTTCTTTTTGGTTCATAGAAATTATAACAAGGCAGTCCATTATTGTTCTAGGCTTGCCTTGGATAGGTCCTTTCTTTGGGAGGGTCACAATTGCGATCCTATTTTTTAAGTATGGTGGCAGAAGATGTCCATCATACTTTTCCTTTTGTTTAGTTTTGTATTGTTTTTTTATATTTTTTTATTAATACAAAATGCACATTTAAAAAAAAAAAAATTGCCCAATATCGTATGAATTTTAAAAAAAATGCACCTTGTCCACAATCATGCAAAGTAGCATGGGGAGATAAAGTTATGACTTCTATTAAATATGTTCAATTATGATTCAACTAGACTAATGGAATCTAATGTGATGTGCTACCTATAGATGTAGCTCATGTTATTTTATATGGTACTTGGATATACGTTTTAGATGTTAACTCTTTTTAGGAGATCTTCTTTTTTTCTTTTTTCTTTTTTTTTTTTGAATCTGCTCATAAAACTAAACTCGTCAAACAATTTAGCAACTCCATGTGAAGTAAATAGGTCTTTGCCTATTCAAGTGCACATACATTTGAGAAATAGAGTGGGCATTGTGACTAATGCCTTGATACTATTGAAATAAATAATCTAGTGTTTAAAAGTGTAATACAAAATGCACATTTTCAAAAAAAAATTGTCCAAGATAGCATGAATTTTAAAAATGCACCACGTCCACAATCATGTAGAGTTGCATGGGGAGATAAAACTATGACTTCTCTTAAATGTGTTCAATTATGATTTAGCCAAACTAATTGAATCTGGTGCGACGTGCTACCTATAGATGTAGCTCATGTTATTTTATATGGTACTTGGATTTACGTATTAGATGTTACGCTTTTTAGAAAATCTCTTTTCTTCTTTATTTATTTATTTATTTATTTTATGAACCTGCTAATAAAACTAAACTTGTCCAACAATTTAGCAACTCCATGTGAAGTAAACAAGTTTTTGCCTATTCCAAGTGCACATACATATGACAAACAAAGTAGGCATTGTGACCTATGCCTTGATAGCTATTGATTTAAATAATATATTATTTACAGGTGTGACTTTGTTTGAAAATGTTAATAATGTATTGGTTCATTTCAAAGATACTTTTTAAAACAAACTTCCAAATAAAGAGCCATCATTATAAGATGAATCCTAGCATGATGAACTTAAAAGGCATGTTAATGAGTTGCTTAATCAGGGTTTTATCAGGAAAGCTTGCCCTGTGATTAAGAAATATGATATCTAACAAATTTGTCAAAAGAGTAAATCATCAATAAAATTATCATAAAATATAATTTTTATATACCTTATATAGATCATATACTAGATATAATGAATCATGTCATTATATTTTTTTAAGATTAATTCGTGAAGTGGTTATCATCAAGTTAAGACGAGAAAATAGGAAAAGTAAAATATTAGTCCACACAAAGATTTACTATATAATGGTTAATAATGTCATTTAGATTAACAAGTGCACCTAATCGCTCCATCATGATAATGAACGTCTTATAACTTCTTATTAAAACATTTCTTGTTGTTTAGTGTTTACTTCATCTTATTTTTTTTTACAAATACTTGCCAATTTACATGTCTAACACCTCAAAAGCTTTATTTACTAGTATACCACGTAAATATTCCAAAAATGCTATGTTTTACCACTTTGTTATCATTTAGTCAATGTCGTAAATTTTTCGTCAATTTCGGTTAGGAGCTCATAGGTGCCCCTCTGGTATTCCTTCATCTAATGAGAGGAAATCAACCATTTCACACACAAATTTCTTCTATCCTTGGTAGCTAACTTTACGTACAATTTGCGTTGTTCGAAGTAATGTGGCTTTGCTTCTTTTGTCACTCAAACCAGCACTTTTTTTTCTTCAATTTTACTCATCTTATCTGAGAGAGATGATGGTGGCCATCCTTCCTCGAGGCATCTCCATTCGCACCGGTGTGTCAGCTCTCGCCTCCACTCAAGACCACGCCCTCCTCGCTGGAGATATCCAGACGACTTAACGCAGTGAGTCGTCCTCACAAATCTGGAGTCGATCGTTGAGGCGATCGGCTGGGACACAAAGGTGATAGTCATTGTTGAATTGTGGGAGAATGGACTCGTCAATGATGTCACCGTTGATGATAGTAGAGAGGAGATTGTTGGTCGCATACTCTTTTAATGGAGATTCGACAAAAAGGCTTGCGACGATGACAAAAATGATGATGTAATGGTAAAATTGAGCTTTTTAAAGATTTATATGGTACCCATGTCAATAGTGCTTTTAAGTGTTAGATATGTAAATAGGCAAGTATTAAATGCTATGTATGTGAATACCTTTTTATTTTATTATAAGACA